TAAAACCATGGGTAGTTTCTGTCCCCTGTGGAGACTTGATTACAATACCAATTCCAATTAACCCATTTGCTTTCGACCCATCGAACCACATTTGCCATGGCTCAACACTGGTCATACCAAGTTCCATGATCTCCTGGTTCTCAGTTTGAGATGGATGATCTGCCAAGAAATTGGCTAAAACCTGCCCTTTTACTGCCCTTTGGGGGACATATTCTAAATGAAATTCTGATAAGGCAAGTATCCATTTACCAATTCTTCCCCTCAACATTGGTCTAGATAACATATATTTAACCAAATCTGTGGTTGTAATTATCAAGACAGTTGTAGGCAAAAGATAATATCTTAATTTTACTGCAGCAAAATGCAAAGCAAGACACAGCTTTTCAACAGCTGAATATTTACATTCACAAGAATTTAAAAACCTACTAAGGTAAAAAATAGCTTGCTCCTTGCATTCTTCATTGTCTTAGGCTAAGAAAGCTCCCAATGAATCCTCTGCTGCAGCTATGTACAACTTCAAGGGCTTGTTCCCCTTTGGTGGCATCAGCACTGGAGGGTTAGCCAAATAGGCCTTGATACCTTCGAAAGCAATTTGATGCTCTGCTGTCCACACAAATTCCTCTTCATCTTTCAGCCTTAACAAGGAAGAAAATACTTTAGTTTTCCCTGCAGTGTTAGAAATGAACCTTCGAAGAAAGTTAACCTGCCCAAGGAACCTTTGTAATTCTTTCTTACTTGATGGGGGTTTGGCTTCAATGATTGCTTTGGCTTTATTCTGATCAATCTGTATTCATTTCTTGTGAACAACATAGCCCAAGAAATTTCCAGATGATACACCAAAAGCACATTTAAGAGGATTGAGCTTTAACTTGAACTTCCTCATCCTTTCAAAAGCTGCTTCTAAGTGAAACAGGTGCTCACACATTATAAAAAATATAACAAAATTATATCATTATAAATTTTTATTTAACATATATAAGAATCAGAGGCTGACGGAGGGAATTGGGATTTTTGCTATGTCATAAGGCACAACAGGTTGCTATGAGGCCCATTAAGGGCGTGTCCCGAATCTTTTTCGATCATCTGAATCGTTCATATTGTAAAGTTTATTGAGTAGCACATCCAATTATATATATATATAAAAAGGTAATTTGAACATTTGTAGCCTTATAATATTAGCACATTTGTTTTTGTAAAAAATAAATGGTTACCATAATTTTAATAATTTTTTACAAACAATTAGGACCTAATCATGGGGTTAAAGATATCCGATTAATTTGATTTTTTTATATAGATGATATATTCGACAAACTTTACGATATGAACGGTTTAAATTATTTA